CTCTTTTTTCTTTCTTTGGAAGAGGGGGCTCTTTTTTTTTTTTAATCAGTCAGAAGAACGATACACAACTTTTATTTTTCTTTCAACAGCCCTCTCACTAGAGACACATCTGAGACAATTGTACAAAAAAAAAGGAAAAGCCACAAGAGTAGGCTGCACATTTAGATTTGAGGTGGGCCCTGATAAGGACTTCCAATGAACGGATGAAGTCACACAAGGCATCCTGAGGAAAAATGGAAGGAATCTGGATTGGTTCACTTTGCAATGCCTCCAATACAACTCAGCGGGTGGAGGAGTTGGATTCTGCTGTGGTTGCTGTTCTTCTGTACTGATATTTAATGGTGTCATTTTCCTGCGAGATCCGCCTGGAAAGACTTTTAATTAATGAGTTCATCCCAAAGCATTGCCAGCTATCTGTGTGCTCTCAGACGTTTTCTCAATGCCGTTAAGCTCTTTAATCAACCATTTCATGTGTGTGTGTTTGTGTGTGTTTATATTGTGTATGCATGTATGTATGTATGTGTATATATATATTTATATGCTCATCCAGTAGTTTGAAAGCATGCAAATGCAAGTAGATTAATAGGTACCAATTTGGTGGGAAGGTAATAGCATTCTTGTGTATCTTTGGTATATAGTTATGATGGCCACATGACCATAGAGAATGTCTTTGGACAACACTGGCTCCCACAACTGGACATGAAACCTTTATGTATTTGTATTTTTTTAAAAAGAAATAGGAAGCACAAATCTGTGAAATTATCTTTATTCTCAAGACTGCTTCTGGACCCCAGATTTTGTAAGCATTCTTAGAAAATGACTAGACAGTCACTTGTCTGAGATGGTATAGGTTCTCCTGCTTGAGCAGGGGACTGGATTAGAAGACCTCCAAGGTCCCTTCCAGCTCTATTCTATTCTAAAATAAAAAGGGAGGGAGGGAGGGAGGGAGGAAGGAAGGATTCTAGCCATTATATGTCCATGACATCCTTCCAACATTTTTAAAGATGATCATAAAAATTAAATATTTATTATCAAAAGAAGGAAATAATTTTTGTAGCATTCTCATTGGACCATTGCCAGTCCAATGAATGAATGGAAGGGCTTGTGATAAGTCACACGGCAGTCTACACTTTGGACTCACAGAGCAAGGTATATCCACCAGATCTGGTGATCAAGAGAGGCCTTCAAGTCAATTTTGATTTCTGTCAACTGGCTGGACTATTTCCTGACGTTTTTTGGCAAGGTTTTTCAGAAGTAGTTTGACATTGCCTTCTTCCTAGGACAGAGAGGAAGTGACTGGCCCAAGATCACCCATCTGGTTTCGTGCCTAAGGCAGGACTAGAACTCACAATTTCCTGGAGTCGAGTTGCAACTTTATGCCTTTTAATAAAATGTATTAGTTAAAAAAAAATGGGTTACCCAATTCCTTCTGGTTCCATCCTTCCTCCAGTAGACTGAAAATAACTTTCATAAATTAAATAATAAGGTCATATTACAACACAGTGCTGATAGAATTTTTGAAATCAGGACCCGAATCATATCGCAAAAGACAAAACTCTTTAAATATTTAACCATTTTTATTTCAGGTTTGCCACTGACACACAAATAGCAGAAAACTGAGATATAGTATACATGGTATACACCAAGCACCCAGTATCATAGGCATTTCCATCCTTTTGCTGTATATTTGGCAAAAGAACTATTTAAAAACCCACATACGATTAAAAGCCCTTCTCTCCCCAATATCACCAGAACCAAAAAAAAAAAAAAAAAGGACTTTAGTGCTGTATAGTTTACAAGATTCAACTGTTGTGGAAGTGAAAAGTTTAAGGCAAGCCTCAGAGAAACACGATAGGCCAATCCATGAATAAGGGGATAGGAGAAATCTTTAAAAACATCCAATCACGTTCGTTCTCAGGGCATCAACATTCCATTTGAGGTCCATGTTTAATCTGCATTTGCACTACAGATGTATTATAGGATATTCCCTCCTATGTTTATATTTAAGATATTCTGAAACTCTTTTGGCAGGTCTAAGACTCTTCAATCCCAAATTCCAAATTTCAGAATTCAATGGAATGGAATGTCCCAAAGGTTCTTTTTTCAAAAGGCAACTGAACTTTGTTTTTTTCCTTGAAGATGTTTTACTTCTCATCCAAGAAGCTTCTTCAGTTCAAGTCAGAACTGAAGAAGCTTCTCGGATAAGAACAGTGGTGGGACTCAGCCGGTTTGCACCGGTTTGGTAGAAACGGTAGCTAACTTTTGTTGAGTTCGGAGAACCGGCTGAACCCATGCTGCTTCTGGAAGTCCATTCTAGGCCTTGGAGGCCTGGAGGAGGTCTTCCTGGCCTAGAACAGCCCATCGGAAGTGTGTGGATGTCACTTCCGGAAGTCTGTTCTAAGCCTGGTAGAGGCCTCCCAGGACCAGAACGGCCCACAGGAAGTGCATGGATGTCACTTCTGGAAGTCCATTCCAGGCCTCAGAGGCCCAGGCCTGCATCCACGCAGAGAACCGGATGTTCAGGTATTTGAATCCCACCACTGGATGAGAAGCAAAACGTCTTCAAGGAAAAAACAAAGTCCAGTTGCCTTTTGAAAAAAGCACCTTTGGGACAACCATATCCTGGATGACTGAGAATTACCATAGACAATGGAATGTAACAACAACTCATCTTGACCCAGGAAAATAGATACCTACATTTTTGCTAGATGAGTAACAAGGGCACAACATTTTTGACATTGACACATTTATCAATTTAAAGAAAGAAACAAGATCATTCTGCAAACAATAATTACATCATAATTCGGGTGTATACTAAGCAGGGTATGTGTGTGCAGAAATCATTAACCATTTGAACCTCCCCCCCAGATATGCACACATCTGCAAAGCTTTTGGGACAAGGGAAGACAAAACAGTTGAGTTGATGGACATAGAAGAAACCTAAATTTGTTGAACAGCTGTTTTTTCTCCCCAAGGAAATGTAGCTGTTTTTATCGAGAACTGTAACTTCTTACTGACGTTTCCTGTTATCTTTGCCAAGCTACAATTGCTAGGATTCTTAAAAGAGTTCACATACACACAAACACAGATATGCACACCATATTTATAGGAGGAAGACGGTCGCCTTCCACTGTCTGTCATTTGCTTTCCTTAGAGACGTAGATATTGTACACCATAGAATTAAATGGATTTAGTCATACCCTTTCTCTAAATAATGGGAGCGATGGATTTCATAATGTCTCTTTACCCTACCGACTCCGGAATTGTTTAGAGAAAGCCTTGGTAGGGTAATAAAAATTAAAATGGACAAAAGCTTTGGTGTAATCAGAACCAGAAACTGACCTGACAATAAGTATGAATTTTTATGAGCTGGCAGGAGTCACTGCATCTCTCTGGAAGATTAGTTCAGCCTTAGAATCTTTGACGTTGTTCTTTAGCATCTGAGCCTCAGAACAGCCATGCTGGAACAAGTCCACCACCCAACTGGTTGAACAGCCTCATGTTCCCATAAATATTCAATGACTCATGCTTCCTTTGAACGTGGAAATGTGTCATAACCAGCATGACACATAGAGACAGACCATGATTGATTATTCCCCATGAGCCAATGAAAAACCAAGTAATGGTGACCAAGACCAGCTGCAAACTTGACAAGTGACATCTAAATCAAAAAAGCTCCAAAATGGGTTCTAAAGCCAACCTATTACACAAGCTAACTTTCCTATTTAGCGACATTTCCAAAAGATACTATTTTCTGAGAATTTCTCATCTCTAGACACACACTGGAATTATTAACATTCTCAAGGACATATCTATACCAAAACACATCTATTATTTTTTTATTATTACGGGTTAGCTGTCAAAAGAAACTGGCGGAAAAAAACAAGAGCAATGAACTCAAGTCTGCACCAATAACAATCTTGCTCAAGTACATGCCATAGCCCTTTTTTGAAGTAAAATCAGATAACTTTTTCTAAAAGGTAGCTGAATTCACTCTGAAAATGATAATTAAATTGATAAACATCTTAAATGTAACAGGGTTATTTCCAATATGAACATTTTCACATAAAAGTGTGTGTAGGAAGCATGAGAAACTTCTGGTTTTGGACTCAACAGATTGATTTTAGAATCCTTCAGAACTTTATTACCTAAATTCTATACAAAGGTCTAGAAATAACAGCAGTCAAGCACCTTGGAATTACAGTACCACTAAAGAAGAAGGACAACAAAAACAATTATGTCCAGTTCAGAAATTTACCATTCTACACAGTACCTTGTTGACCAATGAATCTTCATAATTTTTCTTCCTACAATTTCAAGGTCAGGAAACGCCCACCCATAAGAGGTTTAATTCTTCTTTGTAAAAAAAAAAAAAAAATCTATAGGTTTCTATGGAGCCATGTCAACAGGCTTGGATATGACCTTGTAGAACATAAGCCCCAGTTATCTTTGCTAATGGTTTTGTGAGTATAAAAAAAAACTCTTAAAAAACTTGTAAACATTCTTGGAGGAGAGATTGAGAGAGAGGAATGGTCCTATTTTTTTGTAAATAGAAATCCTATTCAAAAACAGAACAAAGTAACTCATATCTGAAGCACCATTTCAAAAACCCTAATTCCTCTATTTGCTACATGCAGCTGAAAAGAAGCCCATGCTTATTTTTGGAGAAGACATGAAACATCTGGAGGAGGAAGAGTGAATTTAAAGACCTAGAAACTCTAGAACAGTGGTGGTGAGCCCACGGCATGCGTACCAGAGGCAGCACTCAGAGCCCTCTTTGTGGGCACGTGCACTGTCGCCCCGGCCCCCACCTCCCCCCTTGGCCCCCTCCTCACCAGCAGCCCCCCCAGAGGAGAGTTGCCCCCAAGCGTGGCCCATGTGGAGCAACGCAACCAAGGACATGGCAGCCGGACAGCAGGGACAAGACTCTGCCCACACGGCCCATCGCACACAGTTGATGCTGCGGGGCACGGGCAGAGGGCATGGCTGCCATGGCACTGCTGGGCTACCTGGGCAATCTGTGGTGGGCCATGGAGGCAGTGGGTGGCCCTGCGGGCAGGGCGGTGTCTGAGTGGGGTGGGGCAGGGCCGGTTTTGGGGCATTCGGTCTCTAAAAGCTTTGCCATCGCTGCTCTAGGATAACTTGTCTCTCACCAAGATACACATTTGAGCCCAAAGAAGGTTTTTGCTTTTATTTCTACTCCAGACTTCAAAGTGTACATTTTGGGGGCAAGGGATGCTCATTACTATTATAGAATCAACATATATCAAACCCAACTTCTGCAGCCAAAGCAAAAACAAGCAGCGATGGGTGGTAGCCATCAAGAATCAGGCTTCAATTGAAATAAATCCAGGACTCAAACATTAAGAGATGAAGGATCTGCTTTGATTAACTGGTGAAATGAAAACTCCCTAAGGCCAAAGCTCTACCCTCGTAGGACTTGTTAATACTATCTGATACTCCATTATGGTGGATTTCTCCTGCAGGTTTCACAGGGCATCTGCAGCTCAAATCTCCTATGCATTTTACCCAGAATTTAAACCCTCTTGGAAGGCATGGACAGCACCTGTAAAACAACGATCACTAACACAAAAACATGGACACTTCTGTTCTCTTTCACACAATGTTAGGGAAATTGGACTGTCTTCCAGAGCATTGTCAACAGCTGCTTCACCTGCAGACAGCAAGAATGGCATGTTGTTTGCCTGTTAATTTGTTCTTAGACTGCCAAAGGCTTTTACAATAATTGCCAAAAAAATTCCAGCAGCTTCATAAGAATATTTATTGTCTAGCATCCCCAAAGAAAGATGTAGAGACTGCATCCCAAACCAACAAACCCTAATATTACAAAATCAAGAACCTTGACTCTGGATAGCCTCTGACTTCACATATCATTTGTCCTGTCCTGCTTTGCCCTAGGATAAACTTTAGGACTGCATTCCCACCTGGTCTATCTTATGGGAAGATATGGACCAAATACTGCTCTTTAGAGTATCTATAATATGCAGGAATATTCTGCATTTTGTGAGATGGGGACTATATTTTTTTACATACCCCCACCTAATTCAATTTAGTTTATAGAATTTATATAGAAAACATTAAGGTGCAATATCACCATAATAAGTTTTCAGTGCAGGACAACAGAGGATGCCTCTGTATTAAGATAAGATTGTTGTTCAATCTAACAGAATAATAGAGTCAAAAGGGACCTTGGAGGTCTTCTAGTCCAACCCCCTGCTCATGCAGGAAGCCCTATACCATTTCAGAGAAATGGTTGTCCAATCTTTTCTTTAAAACCTCCAGTATTGGATCATCCACAACACCTGGAGGCCAGTCGTTCCACCGATTAATTATTCTAAGTATCAGGAAATTTCTCCTTAGTTTTAGGTTAGTTCTCTCCTTGATGAGTTGAGCATTACTTGCAACTATATTTTCTCCCTCACTTTCTCTTCATGTTCAAATAGTCCAAAAAAATCATCCTGGGAGCATGACGCTCACCAGCTTTTCACTTTTTCATGCAAAGAATAAAGCTAGCCTGGCCTAAATCCAAAACACTGCAGATGAACAAACGTTCAGGTATTCACAGGTATCTTGCAAACTTATTATGGATCGGAAACATGAAACTGTGACATTGGAAGAGACATGTGGGCTTAAATAACAAAAGCAAGAAGGAAAGGAACAAAGATGAATTCCTGTTTACTAAGGAACAGGAAAATAAGATGCAGCTTCATCTTAGCCAACGTAGTAGATCTCTTGGAATGAATCATGAGAAGTGGGCAAAGCCAACACTTCAGAGGCAATTTGGTCCAGCACCGTTAAATGTATATTGCTCATAAATGTTAACTGGTAGCTACCAATCAGTGGCTGGTTATTAGTCCTGCCCAAAACCCCAAGTGTATCTAGAGACCTGCAATTCTATCAGAGCTAGGATGTCATTTTCTTGGGGGTACGTCTTACAATACTTTTGTTCCAGGTTCAATGGTACTTCCTTATGGTCCACTATAACTCTAGGAGTTGAAGGAGATGGGTAGTCCTAAGAGTCCCTTTTATGTTTTATTTTTATTTTTGAAGGGATTTAGAGCCAGGGCTCTAAGGAATCATCTTCCTTGTCTTTGGTCCATCTCAAGATAGTGCTGCCTTTCAGTTCTGGCTTTGCCTTCTCCTTCAGGGCCTCAGAATGCATGGCTGAATTGTGATAACTTCTAGGAGGTTTGGGCAACTTCGAGGTAGTTGTTTACTTCTGCTTTACTACTAAGTGACTGGATGGTCAAAACCTCTATCAAGCCCTCTTCTTATTGGTAATCTTTTTCTCTTCTCTTAGAATGTTCTTGGTCAAAATGCACTATGGACCAGACCCCCTTTGATTCGGCTGGATCCCATTCCCTCCCCCCAGAGGCTATGTTTACACTTTCAGCCACTTGTTCAGAAAGTAGCACATTTGGCTTTGGTCAATTGTGGAGACAGCCCGGTCAGCAAGGTCTCAGGGTGCAAAAGTCTAACTCCTGTGGTTTCTTCCTGAGGTTGCAGCGTTCACGGGGCAGCAGTATGCCACCTCGCCCTGTGCATCTCAGTATGCGCCTTTTAAACCCCCTGCCACAAGTTTTGGAGCACGAGGACCATGGCGATGCCTCCCATGTTGGGCAAGGATCTCCACATATCCTGATGTCAATAGGCCTCTGAGTGGCGTCACAAGAAGAGGCCAACTGACCAAGGGCGTCACGACACAGCACCATGCGTTTCTGCAGACCGTTGCCACAAGTGACTGAACAGTCTTCCCAGTTGGTGGTGGCCCATTTGTAAGCGGGGCGTTTGTAATCCAGCTGACCCAGCTCCAGGCGGTTGGACAGGCTGAGAATACTGTTGTTGAGGACTGGAGGACGCTTCCCATCTTTACGGTGGTAGGAAGACTTGTCCTCTTTGCTTTCTTTGGGCAAGTAGAAGGAGTAGCGTACTCGAGGTGGTGTCATCTTCCCAACTGATAGCACTTCCACTGTCAGGGGTTCCTGGATGGGCATAAAGGCTTGGAGGCTTTCCACTGCTGTACCTGTTCCACTATAGCGAATCACGCTGCCCTTGACTATTAAGTCCCTTTCCACCGGGGAGACAATGAAATGTCCATTCAGAAGATATTTGCCATGCCCATTCTTCAGGGCCAGGTAATTGTCATCACTAATCAGACCCTTGTAGCCTCTCTGACGGATGTCAATGCTGGAAGCACCAGCTGGGAGGAGCACCACAAAGTTGTAGCCATGCCTGGAAGAAAGACAAAAGGTAGAAGAAAGGCAAAAACATTAATATGAGTTAGCAAAGTCACCTAAGAGATGCCTGACTTGGATTGGCTAGAAACAAAGGTAAGACAATGATGCAGAGCAGGTGAATTCATGCCGTGTCCCTATACGGGACCACAAATTTCAGCTGATTTAATAGAATTAAACATGCAGAATGGATTTTGAGCTACAGCTCCTGTAAGTTCCAGCACTGTGGACAGTATTGGGGGATTTTTTTAGACTGTTAACAGAGTAGGTTTCTGCCCTAAACACAATGTGCTCATGTCCCCCAAATGCCCTATTTGTTCTCTTAGAAGGGGATGGCATGAATGTAGCCCGTTAATTTATGATTCACTATATTGGAAAGACTAAGAAGAGGATTGATTCAGTCATGCAGTTAATCATCTGATATGGATCTAGCAAAACATCGCCTCGTGCTGAATCAAGTCATCGGTCTACCTAGATCCATTCAGTCTTTAAGCTGGCCTTTGGGTGACTCTACCCAAATTCACTCACATAGGTTTGGTGAACAACCCTGAAACTTTCTTGCAGCTTTTGTTGTCTCCTCCACACACGCCACACTTGTCGAATTTCGTTTTGGAACCAAGTTTCCCATCGCACCCAGCTTTGATACATTTTCCCTGGACGCAGAGCGAGCTAGAGTCTGGAGAACATGGTGTACCATCCACCACCTGGAAATCAGAAGGATAAAAATAGCACCCAGGGCTGCTTTAGTAAAATCTAGAGATGGCTGGAATGTTGACCTGTATCCGTTTGATTTGGAAACAAGTAATCATCTGCCATCCTTGCCCGTGGCCCTAGCAAAGAAAATGTTATCCTTTGCTCTGTCCTTAGAAGCTGGTTGCACCACTTTTCATTAGGACTTCTGTCATGTGGTTGAATGTTCCACAGTGCTATGTATGACAAATACCTGTTCATGAATCTTGATTTTTTTAAAAAAATATTACTGAGATCCTGGGCATTCTCTGGCTATGAACAGGTACGAAGATTCAAAACCACCAAAATGATTCTGAGTAGCATACTAGCTGTTCTGCAACAAGGTAGTCCTTGACTTACAACCAGTGACTTTTGTAAGTTTTACAAAAAATTACAAAGTATACCCCAAACTCACCCACCCTACCCCCCGCCCCCACTTCCCAGAGCTGAATACAGGGTAATAAATATAATAATCATAATCTAACTAACATTAACCAACTATATAAATAAATAAATATAATGTGCTTTAACTCTCTTTTAACACAAAGTAAACAATTTAAGAATAAACTTAATCATATAAACAAATTAAAATCCTAATATCTAAACAACACAATATCATAAAATTTCCGCTATATTAAACTATTAATGATAATAATAATAATAACAGTGATAATACTCTAAAATTTATTCATAAAATAAATGGAACTTTTTAGTCCCATATTTATTCTGAATATAATTTATCCATTTTCTCCAAACCGAAATGTATCTTTCTTGTGAGTAATCCTTCAAATAAATGACTTACAACCAGTGACTTAATGACCATTCAAAGTTATGATGAATCCCTCTCCCCCCAAAAAGCTACTTTTAACCTATTTTCATGGCCACAAACACCCTGAGTCAAATGATCACATTATGGGCACTTGGAAAACGGATCACCTTTACAGCCATTTGCCATGTCCTACAGACACCTGAAAGTTGCAATTGGCAACTTTTTTGCCAGTTTCCAGTGCTTATTTTCAGTTTCTAGCAAAATATACCCACTTGGGAAAATTGAGCTGCTTAACAACTATGGTGTTCACTTAACAGCCGTGGTCTTTGCTTAACAACCACTGAAAAAAGTGTGAAAAAATCAGGTGTGGTCACAACTGCAACAACTTATAACTGTAATTCCAGGCTCATTTATGGTGGTAAGTCAAGGGCTACTTTTTTGTCACAGTGTCCTCCAAAACTTCCTTTAGAAACCAAGGGCTTTTGTGCATAGAAGCAAGCAACATGGGATTGCAAACATTACACAAATAATTGTGGACAGAAGTGTCGTATTAGCACTGAGTATGTTTGCAGGCATTTGTCAACATTTCATTTAGATAATTATGGGACTTATATGTTTCCAGGAACATCTAAATACCTTTAATTAATCACCCTTCAACAAACATCCCTTTACAATTTCTCTTTTTTCCTCTAAATTGAACATTCATTAAAATACATTCCTTTCGTTTTAAAATATCCAGTGTAAGTGCTCCTTTTTTTCAGCCATATCGCCTTTGTCCTGTGTTGCCATCCAACTTTAGCAACAACAACAACAACAGCAAGAAAGAATTTTAAAAAACCAACTCACCTTTGGGGCTAAGACATAAAAGTAGCCAGTTCCATTGGCTCGGCAGATGAGCTTGCATTTATCCCGAGGTGACACGCCAGAATATTTGGGGACCCAGGAGACAATGGCGGTGAGTCGGTTCGTGCTATGGTTGTAGCCATTGAAAGCCTCACATTGTTCTTCCCGAAAACTCTTTCCTGGAACTACGAGAAATCAGTTTCAGAAATGATTTTAGGAGCTGATTCCTACCATCACAAATAGAGGGACCATCTAGGGCAGTGGTGGCGAACCTATGGCACACATGCCAGAGGCGGCACTCAGAGCCCTCTCTGTGGGCATGTGCGCCGCCACCCCAGCCCCACCTCCACGTGGCACCCTCCTGACCAGCAGCCTACCCGGAGGAGAGTCGCCCCCAGGCGTGGCCCTCGCAGAGCAGCGCAGCCAAGGACATGGCAGCCGGGCAGCAGGCACAAGTCTCCGCCCTCATGCCCCATCGTGAGCAGATGATGCTGCAGAGTGTGGGCAGAGGGCATGGCCGCCATGGCGCTGCAGGATCAACTGGGTGATCTGCTGCAGTGGGCTGTGGAGGTGGGGGGGCCCTCTGGGTAGGGAGGCGGGAGCAGGGGGTGGAGTGGGGGTGGGTGGGGTGGGGCATGGGAGCAGAGTGGGGGCAGAGTGGGGGCAGAGTGGGGACAGGCAGGGGGCAGGGCAGTTTGGGGGTTGTTGTTGTTAATTGCGAAGTCGTGTCCGACCCATCGCGACCCCATGGACAATGTTCCTCAAGGTCTTCCTGCCCTCTACCATCTTCTGGAGTCCATTTAAGTTCACACCTACTGCTTCAGTGACTCCATCCAGCCATCTCATTCTCTGTCGTCCCCTTCTTCTATTGCCCTCAATCTTTCCCAGCATTAGGCCCTTCTCCAGTGAGTCCTTCCTTCTCATTAGGTGGCCAAAGTATTTGAGTTTCAACTTCAGGATCTGGCCTTCTAAAGAGTTTTGGGGTACTCAGTCTTTAAAAGGTTCACCATCACTGATTTAGTGAATCTCCAGATAACATTGCACCTAGTCATAAATATTGGATTTGAACATGAGCAGAGAAGCAAATCCAACAGAGTTGAACATTTTCTTCCCATAATGCCCAGATTTTTATCCTGCTTTTATTTTTCTAAATAACTCAAGGCAGTGATCATACCTAATATCTCCTGCATCCTCATATGCCTAGTACCCAGAACATGCCTAATACCTAACCTAGGGGTAGGCAACCTTGGCTCTTTTATGACTTGTATGCTGGCTCAGGAATTCTGGGAGCTGAAGTCCATGAGTCATAAAAGAGCCAAGTTTGCTTACCCCTGATCTAACCTAATATCTCTTTCCTCCTCCTATTTTTCCCATATCAATAACCATTTGTGGTGAGCTGGACTGAGAGGGAGTGACTGGCACAAAGTCACCCAGCCAGTTTTCATGCCTTAAGGTGGAACTAGAACTCACAGTCTCTTGGCAATTGGCTAAAAGTCACCCAGCTGGCTTTCTTTCCTAAGGTGGGACTAGAATTCACCATCTCCTGGTGATTGGCCCAAGTCACCCAGCCAGCTCCTGGTGATTGGCCAAAAGTCACCCAATCAACTTGCAGGTTTAAGGTGGGACTAAAACTCTTGTCTCCTGAAGATTGGCTAAAAATCACCCAGTAGCTTTCCTTTCTAAGGTGCTCACAGTCTCCTGGTTTCTGGTCTGATGCCTTAACTACTGGACCAAAACCTAGTCTAGTCCTGCTATCCCCTCCAAAAGAATTGATCAGCCATCATGACAGTGCTGCAGTTGGCACCTTCATTAAATCTCACCTGAAGCAAAGCAGGGATCCAAACTGCAGGAACGATATTTAACTCGAACCCCTTCACAATACTTTCCTTCATTGGCTGGAGCCGGATTGTTGCATTGACGTTTAGCCAGCTGGACTCCTCCACCACATGTCCTTGAGCATGTCCCATAAGGTGCCCACTTCCCCCAGTTGCCATCCACCTGTCAGGCCATAAGACATTGAACAGATATGAAATCCACAAGGAGGCCATCCCTATTTTTTCTCAAGGAATACAACACTTTGGCTAGCTAGTGCCATGAAGTACATGCACGATGCTTTTTCAGCATTTTTAACGATCAGCAGATTAGGAATTGTTTTTATCCCTAGCGTTTCAAAAGAGCTGACTCATTGTGGAAACTAACAAGCAATTAAATCAACTGCTTGTGCAGATCTCTGCAATTTTCTTAAATGGATTAAACTAAACCATAACAAAGCAAATCAGCAATGATTCAGGAGACTATGAGTACAACTATCAAAATCCATGTGGACTACAATGGTTAATTTAGATGCTTCAAAAACTCTCAGTTCTGGAGAATTCATGCTTGGGTCGAATTATGTTGGATTGCCTACTTAGCATATTCTTTTTCTGTTTGTTTGTTTGTTTGTTTGTGCATCTGTGGCCAGAACTAAACTTTTGTGAACATCAGCCTTTGGGCTGCTCTCCATGGAAAGAGCCATCAGTACTCACCCGGTACTTACTGATGTTATGCCTCTCCACACAGGAACCTTTCATGCAGAACTTCCCTTCTCCACAGCTGGTGCCATCAGCCCAAGGGAAGTGACGGGTCTGGCACATGATGTGGCCACGAGCCTTTCCGGTGCACCAAAGCTTGGTGCAGTATTGCATGTATGGGCAAGGCTTGGAGCCAATGCCAAAGGCCAGCTCACACTGCTGGTTGAGATTATAGCTGGAACCAGGAAGTTCTTGAGGCAAAGAGATCGGCTTGGTGGGTTGGTCCAAAAGACAATCACCTGGAGAAGACAGAGGCTACAATGGGAGATCATCCCAAAGGAACCATCCAGAGCAATAGCACTTACATTTATATACCACTTCATAGTGCTTTACAGCCTTCTCTAAACGGGTTACAGAGTCAGCATATATTGCCCCCAACAATCTGGGTCTTCATTTTGCCGACCTCGGAAGGATGGAAGGCTGAGTCAACCTTGAGCCGGTCAGGATCGAACTCCTGGCAGTGGGCAGAGTCAGCCTACAATACTGTATTGTAACCCAGTGGTTCTTAACCTGGGCGATATTTCCCCCCAGGGGGCAATTTCATTTTTCAGGGGGGCGATGGAATGAAAAGGGGGCAATATGGGGGCGATGGAGCGAGAAGTTTTGGGGACACTTTTGAGACTTTTTCATACAGTGAATCACTGTATATCTGTCGTACAAAAACATCAGATTGCTCGCTATTAGTGGATTGAATTGTGTTTTCAAATGTTCCTCCAGCTAGCTTCAGTACAGAACGCCGTATATATGTGAATACGCATTGCTTATCTTCATGCACGTTGCGCAGCAGCCCCTACCCTTTTTATATTTCTTTTTGTGTCTTAAATTTTACTTGTAATTCAATCATTAAATATTACTGTTTTTCTTTTCAGACATTTCACTTTCTTGGAATTGAATTTTGTTTTCAAAGTGGTCATTACATTTAAGTGTCTTGAATAAATAAGATAATAATGAAATATATGTATCACAAAGTTTGGGAATAAAGTGACGGGTGGCACCAAAATTTTTCACACAGTTGAGATATGGGAAAAAGATTGGAAATAAATTATTTGCATCAATATGTCCTGATGACAATTTTGAAGAAAACAAAAAAAGTGTTTGCATAAATTGAAAAATTATTTTCTATGTTGTGATTGAGAGGTTATGTTGGGGGAGGGGGGCGATGACAACTTCCTAATTGGCTCAAGGGGGCGATTCGTTCAAAAAGGTTAAGAACCACTGTTGTAACCCACTGCGCCTCCATGGCTCTGTAGCATCAGGACTATTTCTCTTGCTTTGTTACCAATGCTAATCACAGTGGTGACAGAGGTGAAAATGCAGTGGTCAGGATTTACATCTTTAAACTGTGAACTGATTTGGATATTTAGGTTGGAGGTTGGTACAGAAATCTGATATAAATCACATTTTTTTAAAAAAAAAAAAAAGTTTCAAACAAGGATGAGTACAGTTGACCTGCTGCCATATAGTTCCAGATCCTTCTAAAATGGGTATTCTAAGTTAGATTCAGCCTTAGCATTTCTAATGATTTACAGCTTTCTGAGTGTAAATTGTTTAGTAAAAGTAGAGGAGTGTGCCAAACAGCTTGATCGGCTGATTATTCTATTTTTCTAGACAGCTGGGTTTAAGAATCTTCAACACCCTCCAGGTTTACCTTCTCTAAGGGCTCAGTTTTTATACACTCCTAAGAGCAGATTCAAATAAACATCTTGATAGCACAAGACCAAATGTTAAGAATGTGCAGAACCTATCTGAGACACTAACAAAAAAAAATGGTGAAAGGTTTTGCTTCCCTTTCTCCAAAAAGCTTTCTTTCTTTCTCTCTCTCTTTTTAAATTAAAAGAAAAATCGTAACATTTCAGTGACATTCATTAGCAAAATGAATTTCCAAATTAAAGGGAAATTCTTTAGTAATTCCAAACCTGGCTTTAATAAAGTCACAGTCTAATATTGTGTTTGCATCACAATACTGAGTCTAAGTCAACTAAGTCTTAAGGAGGTTTGCCTACTTTTGACTTAACAGTGCCTTGTGTTCTATAATCCATAGTGTATGGCTTTGTAAAGCTCCATTGTGGCTTATTCAACAAATCATTGTTAGAACAAAACCCAGCTTAATACAGGACATGAAGCCAATTTGAATAGTAATGGACTCAACAGAAGATCCATTACTAATAAAGAAAGGATAATATCTAGATCATATCATGACTACAGTGATTGCTCATGTTTTTGTGGGTCTCTGCTTTAGGATATGCAGAATCCCACAGAGAAATTCGGTTTGTTTAACTGAGTTTGCTGGATGCTCAAGCATAAAAGTAAACTCCAAGATTTGTCTTGAAATACCACGTTTATGAAGTCAGCACGCTATAGAAAGGTGAACTCCACAGGATATCCTTTGTCACAATTACTTTGGCTGAGACTCATTGCCACCAAGAAGGACCACCAGCTCAGATCATTAAAATATACGTGCAAAAATCAGCAGTGACTAACCACAAGAATTTACTGTTCCAAAGTTTAAGCTTTCATCAAGGTGAGAAAAGTTGGCTTCTGGAGCAAATACTTTAATTGAACCACTTTCCTTTCTCTTAAGGGCATCATTTTGCCACTACCCTTCTGACGTCCACCTAAGTTTTGGTGACAAAGGTGTCTTCCAGCCCGTTTCTAGACAAACATCCCTAATCTGTAACCCCCATCTCTCTTTCATGGATCTACCTCCTGTCTCCTTCTCACCATGTCCGCTGTCCAGGAAGTCAGTGATGATGGCCGTGCTACAAGGTGACCATGGATTAATACGATCAATTTGGATGAGAGTGGGGGACATCATGTGGTTAGTCTTCAGTTTACCAAAGACTTCTTCACAAGCCTTCACGTTGTCATGGGGCATGTTGAACACATGTCCTAGAAAGAGAGAGTTATGGTTTGAAAATTGCAGCCAGCATTCTGGTACTTCCCAAGGGATAGAATTAGTAATGAATAGTAATATCTGTTAGTTTCTCTTTCCAGCATACTGTTTCCTCTTACTGAAACCTCTCTTTATGTAAAACAGGAGGTGGTAAAGAATGAACCTGAGTCCTTCTAATTCAAGAACAGTGCTTGTATTTATAATCATGGTTAATTTGGTTATTGATTAAACCATTTTTTTAATATGAACAACTGTCCAGATTTACCCATTCATATATATATTGGAAGGAGTCATCAAGGGCTTTAAAAAAAATCTCTTTTCTGCTGTCCAGGCAACAGTAGAGACACGAGATATCAAAGCTGTTGGACTTGGCATGGTCTGGAGGTTTTACAAAGGTTTAATTTGTGTCCTCCACCTCCTTTTTGCTTTTTCTTCCTTAATCCATGAAAGAAGTGACCTCTGTTGCACACAGCTTTGCAAGGGCCTGCAGCAAAACTGTTGTACTCTACATTCCCTTTCCTAGATCCACAAACATCTTCCTTCTTATGTTCTAATCAGGTTGTCCCTCAAAGGCCAATAAATTTACAACAGATGCAGAGTGCAATTGCTGCCAGCAAGACCTGCAAGCCAGCAGTTTTCTTTGCCAAGACTCACACCATTTACTATGTATGCAGATACTTGTCGTTTCAAAAGACTTGAGGGGGAAAAAATGAGAAACAAGGGAGGAGAAGAGAAAAAGAGAATTCCTTATTCAAGCTCATAACTACTCTGGGTGGAACATCTGAAAGCTGATCACAGACATACTGGGACTAGTGGAAGAACATCTAGTTAAACTAGGTCAGAAATAAATTAACTCTATTTGTTTAATGTAATTTCAGAATATTAAATGTCTTCCTGCTAGATTAACTGGTAAATTATCTCACCCAGCATTCTGCTCCTCACTGGGCTGACCAGTTGCCTTTGGAACCCTTATTATTTTTTTCTTCTTGTGTTTTTCCGCAAGTGCAGGGTCTGCTTTTTTCAGATCAATTGAGCGTTGATCCATTGGGGATTGGAAATGATGGGAATTGACCAATTGGCTTGTTTTCTGAGCCTGACAATATGGGCTAAAAGAGAGTGACTGAATCAAATTCACCCAACCTGGTTTCATTCCTAAAGTGAGACTAGAACTCAAAGTGTCCTGTGATTGGCCCAAAGTCATCCAGCTGTCCTTCATGCTTAAGGTGGGATTAGAACTCACAGTCTCCTGATGATTGGGCCAGAGTCATCCAGCTGTCTTTCATGCCTAAGGTGGAACTAAAACTCAAAATCTCCTGTGATTGGCCCAAAGTCATCCAGCTGTCCTTCATGCCTAAGGTGGGACTAGAACTCACAGTTTGCTGGGATTGGTCCAAAGTGCCACGGTTGGACACCCCTGGTTTAGAGAAAAGACAATCAAAAAAGTCTTCACAATTTTGGGTTGGCTTTATTCAGACATTACATCGTACCAGTCACTCACTGTGACAGTTGACTACGTGAAGAGATACAAGACAATGCAGCTGAATTTAATCCAGCATGGATCACCAACCCTGAAGGGAACCACCAAAAGGCAGCAAAGGGCCTTGAGTTAGCCTATCCCAGCCAGAGGAATCTAATTTGCAGTGAAACCATTTCTAATTTTAGGAGCTATTTTGAATCGGAATAATTTACTCCTCTAAACCCCAAATCCTCTTCCTGCTCTCTAAATGAGAACCAAGCCATTTGGTTGTCACTTCAGGAGACACTCTGACGCTCTGGATCGAGATGTGTATCTAACACATCCCAGCAATTACATATTATTTCAGGATCTCTAAAACCTGGGAACAGAACGGCCAGCAACGAGGAGCCCTCCGCTTGGGATTCCTTCTCTTTTAAACAGCTGTTCTCCAGCAGTTCCAACTGAGCCTTGTCGTTGCACAGGGAATAAAATTGCAGGCTTGTTGCTCTCTTTTTTCTCCACAAACATATATACACATTCATTTACAAGGCTGAGTTTCCCACAAAACTATTCTTAAACTTTTGCTATTATCAAGACTTCCTGAATCCAGTCCTGGGATTTATTTTAAACGTCAAGCTTCTTTCTCTAATTAGAGAGAGAATTCTTCTGTTAAAAATGGATTCAGTCCACATTCCTCTCCCTCCGTTTCCTTGGCAAAATCTGTTTGGCAGGTGTCAACCACTGTATGGTGTGGGCTCTGCCTCTCAGCTGTGGCCTTGGTTAAGTGACCACTTCCAAAGTCACTGGCTGAGGGATTGAAACTTCTGGCCAAGAACGGCTTGCCAAACATCGGAAGGAGAGCATGCAAAACCAGGCAGATGCAAAGCACAAGCTGTAAATGATTGGCTGCTGCTAGATTTAAGAGGCTAAATTGGCTGACTTGGAATCCTCTTCTGGAGATCTGTGCCCTCACAGTTCCTAATCTCCCATTTCTTCCTTTTCTAACTATAGATGACCACCACCACAAAAGTCATAGAACTGAAATGCCACAATTAGAGTTACAGGGCTGGTATCTGTCAAAGTTCCAGCTGATGATCCCAACGAAATAAGCACACAATCTTACAATCTCTAATCACAATCACAATCTCTAATGCAAAACTTTATTGAGCACAGCATACCGGCACTAATGAATGGAAAACCAGCTCTGGCAATATGGTGCCAGAAAGATAGTTAAAAGATTAAATCCTCCCCGTCCCTCTCTGACACTTCAAGTCACATTGTCCAATTAATCTTCAGGCTGTTGTTATGAGAAAAAGTGGTCTCCACTTGCCATAAATATCTCTTCTGCGATCTTGCTTCCCAGCGGATAGAAACCACCTGTGCATTCCATACATTCCCCTTCCCCCTTGGAAGTGTTGGCAAGCTAGAAGCAGCATGGCTGTCCTAGTGCAAGCAATCTTCATAGCTTGACAATATCTCAGAAAGAAAAGGTAGGAGGACCACAAGAAGAATCCCTACAGGCAGAGCTTTTTTTGTCATAGAACGCCCAGAACGGAGTTCTGGCACCTTTTTTGGATGGAACCTTGAAAGGTAGCCAAGGCGGGTTGTATGACATGTGACATGAGTTCCGGCACCTTTTTTTTTTTTTTTTTTTTTTTTACAAAAAAAGCACTGTGGCTACTGGAATATATATATTTTTAGTCTTTGGAAACTTCAGGAGTTTCAGATTTTTTTTTCTTAGTATTTATTCTTACCCCACCTTTACTCTTTTTATAAATAATGCAAGGTGGTGGACATACCTAATATTCCTTCCTCCTCCTATTTTCCACACAATAACAACCCTGTAAGGAGGGTTGGACTGTGAAAGAGTGATTGGCTCAAAATCACCCATCCAGCTTTCAGACTTAAGGTGGATTAGAATATACAGTTTCCTGAAGATTAGCCCAAAGTCACCCAGACGTCATTCATGCCTAAGGTGGGACTAGAACTCACACTCGCCTGGTGATTGGCTCAAAATCATCCAGCCATCTTTCATGCCTAAAGTGGGACTAAGAAATCACAATCTCCTGGTGATTGGCCCAAAGTCACCCAACCAGCTTTAGATGTTCTTCTAAGTCAGTGGTTCTCAACCTGTGGGTCGGGACCCCATTTGGGGTCGAACAACCATTTCACGGGGGTCGCCAAACCACGCTGTCCGCCATTTTTTCCCTTTTCCCTTGCTGTCCTACTCCCTCTTATTGGTGGCCACACCCACTTGGGGGTCACCACAACATGGGGAACTGTATTATGGGGTCACGGCATTAGAAAGGTTGAGAACCACTGTTCTAAGTCTTCTCTCTCATCTTTCTCTCCTTTTTGGAAGCCGTTCCTTACCTAGCTCATGAGCTGTAGTAAAAGCAGAAGGAAGACCATCATCCTCAATGACGGAGCAACTGCGTTTGGGATCACACATGGTACCGACATCCGCCATTCCCAGGGTGTCACAAGTGGTAGCACCACACAAATCCTGCCAGGAACAAGAAACTATCCTTTAATCTCAACAGTTTGTTTTCCATAATTTAAAATGTTATATATACACAGTGCTTCCCAAATATCATTTGCTTGGATTGATTTCAGCTTCAAAGGCAGACTTTTAAAGCAGTTCTATCTATTTTATTCATTTACAAAGCAGCTGATAACAGGAATAATAATGAAGAACATCTCCGGATTCAATCCTACAGACACCTATCTATGAATAAAGCTTGCTAAATACAATGCAACTTAATTTTAAATAGGTTTGTTTCTTTGCTCATTCACAGTGATCTTCTGACTTTTCATCCAAAAAACCTCTAAGAGAAACTTACAATCAATACAAGAAGCCCATCTACAAATAGGTAGACTGTCCTTCGTTAGAGATCTTCAAGTAGTTGCTGAAAATCACAGGGAAACTTTTATTCTGGATATCTAAACCGAACAAGGGTTTGATTTGTTGAGCTATGGGATACTTCCAACTCGTCAGATTATGCTCAGCTTTAGAAGCACCAAATTATTGAACTGTTACCCTGAAGAACTGCAATTAACCATGGCTGATTTCTAGATATTTGTCAGCACAGAGCTCCAGGTGATAAGAGGAAACTGGAAGTCACCATTATCCCATATTTGAAAGTCTGAGTAGAAAGAGAAATGAATGCTTTCTGCTTGGTACTCAAAATGTGGGCCATTTCTTCAGTTCACCAAACAATACAGCTAGGTTCAGACTAATTACCTAATGTTCTTCATATCTTCCATGGGAGGCTGGTTCTAGCACATTCTATTTCTTATTTCCCTGTTTCTTCTTCCTTTTTGTTGCTTTTAAGGGTGGATTTATTATCTGTGAGATGGTCATGTGATCACCCTCATATTTTGAATATTTGTACTTCAGCTGTACCGTCCACATGCCAAATCCAGCTGAGATCTACTGGATAAGCCAAGTCTTGTTGAGAATTATTAGAGCTTAGTCATAGACAGCTGTCAAAGAACCAGCCAATGACCAAGAACCAGAGATGAGTGCTGGGGGCTGAAGGCAGAATTCAGAACTAAGATAGATGAATTGAGAAGTCATGCCAGGAAATAAACTATCATTGTCAAGCTATGTTGTTCCAGCCTGTTTAGGATGCCTTCCTTATTCTTTATAACAGAATAGCAAAGTTGGAAGGAACCTTGGAGGACTTCTAGCCACCTGTCTGAAATGGTATAGGATCTCCCGCTTGAATAGAGGGTTGGACTAGAAGAACTCTACGATCCCTTGCATCTATTCTATTCCATACTATTCTATTCTATTCTATTCCAACCCCCTGGTCAAGCCAGAGACCTTATACCATTTTAGACAAATGGTTGTCCAGTCCTTTCTTAAAAGTCTCCAGTGATGGAGCAACCACACCTTCTGGAGGCAAGCTGTTCCACTGGTTGATTGTTTTCCCTGTCAGGAAATTCCTCCTTAGTTCTAGGCTGCTTTTCTCCTAGATTAGTTTCCATCCATTGCTTCTTGCTCTGACATCAGGTGCTTTGAAGAACAGGTTGACCCATTCTTCTTTGTGACAGCCCTTCAAGTATTGGAACACTACTATCATGTCATCCTCTAGTCCTTCTTTTCTCTATACTAGTCATACCCAATGCCAGCAACCGTTCTTCATATGTTTTAGCCTGCAGCCCCCTAATCATCTTTTTCACTTATTCTCTGCACTCTTTCCAGAATCTCAACATCTTTTTTATATTGTGGTGACCAAAACTGGATGCAGTATTCCAAGGGTGGTCATAACAAGGTATTATAAAGCAGTAGTATCATTTCACGAGAAGTTATCTTTCTTTTCACAACAAGTTATCTTCTTTCCAAGAGACTCAGGAATATACCCAATATCTCAAACAGCTTACTCTATAGGGAGGTATGCCTATGTAAAGTGATGATGGCTCATTGTAGCTGCAGCAATTCCTAAAAGACGATATATTGGTTCTAAGAAGGGAGAATAATGGTACAGACAGTTACATCATTAATTTAGCTCCGTATCAACTGGAGCATATAAAAATAGGCATATTGCTGGAAGGCAAAAATAAAAAAAAATCCACCTTCCTTATTTCAGCCATGTCATGCGATCAATTAGAAAAGGCAGTTGTGCTTGGAATAGTCAGTGGTAAAAGAAAATGAGGCTGTCAAAATCACAGCGGCTAGACTCTATCAAAAATGACACCAGCCAGAACATAGAACAACTGAAAAAAGCTGTATAAAATAGGAAAATGTAGAGAGAGCTGGTCCTTAGAATCCCCAGGAATGGACATGATTGAATGGATAGCATCAATGTCAACAAGAGTGCTTTCAGCACCAACGCTCAAATGTGAATGCAATCAAAAATAATTTCATCCACTATACAGAAACACACCCAGCTTTGTTTTGAACCCATTTGCCAGTTGCCTGACCCTCAGCCAAAGACTAAACTAGTTAAGAATTCTAGGATTTGTAATGCCAACACTATCCAGAGGACATCAGGTTGGCAACACACTGATATATCTCCTTGCTTATAGCAGTAGCACTTAGATTATATACCACTCCATAGTGCTTTACAGCCCTCTCTGGGCAGTTTACAGACTCAGCGTATTGCCCCCAACAATGTGGGTTCTCATTTTACTTGGAAGGATGGAAGGCTGAGTTAACCTTGAGCCCCATCGCGATCAAACTCCAGGCTGTGGGCAGAATTTGCCTGCAATACCGCATTCTAACCACTGTGCCACCAGGGCAACATTCATGCTTTACAGCTGCTCTTAAAACTTCTAGATCTAGTAATGCTATGGATGAAGCACACTAAATGGCAACCTATTAATGTTGGGATTAGGTGGCCCTGTGAAAAAATGCTCATAAATATGGGTTTCTGACAGGCTTGACAAACTGACAAAGGGGTGGGGGGAAACCTTTCCTAGTAAAGAATACTAGGAGAAAAGTCATGAGCAGTATGAAGTCATGAGAAGAAACTGAGAACATAGTTAAAGAATTAAGCAAGGGATAAAAATTTCATCGTACCAGAAAAAAGAAATAAGGCAAATTAACTTTCAATGCTCAAAAAGCATCTCTTGGTAAAGACCGTTCTTCCACCAATTAACGAGGTCATGCGGGTCAAACTTTTGGCTTTCATTGAGAATGATGCTCTTTGGTGTTCCTTGAATGTGATGCCAATAATTCAGCTAAGATCATTCAAGGGGAACAAAAATCATTTCCCCAGCTGGAAATGTACATTAGCTACATTTTTTTTTACATGTTCTAGATATGAAAGCTTCATGCCATGACGGGCATAGCTGGAACAGATTAAACCAACCACCCCCTTACCCACCATCAGTCAGAACATAGGGGAACCATGCCACATCCCATTCTTACCACTGCTGGGATCCAGGATTGACATCATGTCCCAAAGAGGTCAATTCACAATCTGGAGCAAAGACAGCATTGTTATGTTCTTATTACAAATTGCTTCCATATCCTCTTGCTAAAAAGCAACAAGGAATAGCTCCAGGCTGTATCCTGCAAGACTTGAGACACATGTTGGGAAGAAAAGATACTTCTAAGCCCTGGGAAATTAGAAAATAGGGAACAAAAGAAACTCAAAACAACTCCACCTTGATTGAGTTAGATATAGGTTGCATTGGAGAGAAGTTTTGATAGACTTACAAATCATGTTACAAGAGACTGCCTAAAATAGATGCCAAGATTCCTAGCCCCTTCCTGTTTCCTGAACTTGATTCTCTTGAAAGGCTGACAATATTTGATCTCTATCAATCGCAGCAATCTAGCAAAGAAATCCCAAAGGTGCTTTTTCATGAGGCAACTGGACTTTCTTGTTTTTCTCTGAAGATGTTTTGCAGCTCTGACTAGATGGTGGGGAATGGAAGGGTTTATATTCTTTGCAGACTGCTGGTTATTTGCATTCTTTTAGAGAGTCGTTGAGGCCACTTGGAGGTTTAACAGTTGTCCTCAGGGGTCACCTGAGTAGTGCAAACGTGTGTGGAGCTTTCTTGGTTGCAGGATGTTTCCTGCCCTGTTTCCCTTCACTGTTGAAGACAAGCCTTCCACTCCCCACCATCTAGTCAGAGCTGAAGAAGCTTCTTGGTTGAGAAGTGAAATGTCTTCAAAGAAAAACAAGGAAGTCCAGTTGCCTCCTGAAAAAGCACCTTTGGGACAACCATGACCTGGATGACTGAGAATCTCCATAGACATCTAGCAAAGAAATCTACAGAGACTAGACTTGGACTACAGGAGACACAGGGAGAAATGGCCATAATGTCCATAATTGTGAAAAGAATTAAGACTGCATAGTCAGGATGTCTGTAAAACAATCAGCAAGAAGGTCTAGACATGGTGTGATCATCACCAAACCATTCAAGATAAAACTGATCCACAAAAGTCAAAGTGAAATAGCACAAGGGTTATGTGCTAAAGATTTCTTAAGTGCTATTTCTGATCCTTCTCAGTATAATGAGGAAAAAATGCTTTTTCTCAAAGGAAAAGAATATTTTGGTGAAACATTTATCGGCATAGGAATCCTGAAAATGACCTTGAGATGCTTGAGACCAATTGTTTTTTTGGTACTATTCCAACAATCTTCCATCTTCCCAGTTGTCCATACTTCAGTTCAATCCCAAGGGAAGCCATCATCAGTTTGCAACCATAAAGTAAATTTGGACACATCATTACAAAAAAAAAAAATTTGAAAGAATATTAAAGCACCCTGAGAATGAAAAAGAAAAAAAAACAGGAAGCTAAGGAAGAAAAAAACTGGACAGATTTTGTAAAGGAATTGACTACATGAAGCATTAACATCATCAATCAGCTACATTTTCTGCCAAAATAGGTTCACGATTGACATCCCACTGACTAAGAGACCTCTTTCACGTTTCCTGCAACAGGCGAATGAATCAACCCCCAGCGGAATTATGTCTAAAAATGTAGCCAGAATTGCTCCATGCACCTTTGCTTCCTTCCTCTTCTCAATGGTCATCTCAAAAATG